GCAGCATTATTTACAACAGCCAAAAAGTAGAAATAACCCAAAAGCCTATCAACTGATCAATGGATAAATACAATGCATTATACCCATAAGATGGAATATTATCTGGCAATAAAGAGGAATAAAGTTCTGATACATTCAGCAACATGGATGAACCTTGAAAACATTACGGTAAGTAAAAGAAGCTAGTCATAAAAGACCACATATTGGCTGGGCGCAGTGGGTCACGCCTGTAATTCCAGCACTTTGGGAGGCCGAAGCGGGCAGATCATGAGGTCAGGAGATCGAGACCATCATGACTAACACAGTGAAACCCCGCCTGTATAAAATAACAAAAAAATTAGCTGGCGGTGGTGGCGGGCGCATATAGTCCAGCTACTCGGGAGGCTGGAGGCAGGAGAATGCATTTGAAAACCAGGGAGGAGAGTTGCAGTGAGCCCAGATCGGCGCCACTGCACTCGGCTGGGTTGACAGGGGCGAGATCCGTCTAAAAAAAAAAAAAAGACCAATATTGAATTCATGATAAAAATGGTCAAATAGCAAATCTATAGAAGACAGAAATAAATTATTTGGCTGTAATTGGCCTAGGGGCTGGGAAGAAAGGAGGGAAACGGAAGAGCTGGGAGTGGGGCAGGAGACAATGACACGGTAGAACAAGGAGTGACTGCTAATGGGTATAAGGTTCCTTTTTAGGGTAATGAAAATGTTCTAAAATTAGATGTGGTGATGGCTGTGCAACTCTGTAAATAATAGGAGGGAAGAGGAGGGAAGAAAGGGAGACCTTCCATGTATCTACTGTATGAAAAAGTTCTCATAAACTTTTACCTCCTCTCTCAACTTTCTGATGAGCTCTGTGTCATTGTGATGGGTTTTGATGAGTTCAGCTTTGCCACTTGCAACAAGGGATGCACTTTCAATTAGATCAGGCCGTAAAGTACCTTGGGCAAGGAAAACCTCCTCTGGTTTCAAGTTCATTTCCCCAATTACTTCATTGGCAATCTATAATCAACAGGAGTAAAACAGCCTTGTAAGAGAAAAATTTTTTTAAAAGCAAAAGTTTATACTTTCAGCTAAATCTCCTAGAGTCCTTTAGAAATACTGACCAGAAAATAAAATCCACCAAGCCCCAAAATAAACTCCTTTATGAACGTGTCCTTTAACATGATTCAAAAAGGTACGTAAGGCCGAGCACAGTGGCTCATGCCTGTAATCCCAGCACTTCGGGAGGCTGAGTGGAGCGCATCACTTGAGGCCAGGAGTTCGAGACCAGCCTGGCCAACATGATGAAACCCCATCTCTACTAAATATACAAAATTAGCAGCCAGGCATGGTGGCTCACGCCTGTAATCACAGCACTTTGGGAGGACAAGGCAGGTGGATCATGAGGTCAGGAGTTTGAGACCAGCCTGACCAACATGGTAAAACCCCATCTCTACTAAAAATACAAAAATTAGCCAGGCATGGTGGCACATGCCTATAATCCCAGCTACTCAGGAGGCTGAGGCAGGAGAATCGCTTGAACTCTGGAGGCGAAATTTGCAGTGAACCGAGATTGCGCCACTGCACTCCAGCCTCGGAGGCAGAGCGAGATTCCATCTCAAAAAAAATAAAAAATAAAAATAAAAATAAATAGCTGGGCATAGTGGTGCATGCCTGTAATCCCAGCTACTCCAGAGGCTGAGGCAGGAGAATCGCCTGAACCCAGGAGGCAGAGGTTGCAGTGAACCGAGATCGCTCCATTGTACTCCAGCCTGGGTGACAAAGAGCAAAACTCCGCCTCCAAAAAACAAAACATAGGTATGTGAACATTCCATTCAAGAGCTTGAAATTAGCCATTGAGATAACCAATGAATTAAAGTCTATGATCAGCTGAAGACATCTATTCTTAAAAAGTTAAAATAACAGTCTGGCAATGTAAGCAAACATGTTTATTAAAACATAAAACAGTTGGCTGGGCATGGTGGCTCACACCTGTAATCCCAGAAGTTTGGGAGGCTGAGGCGGGCGGATCATGAGGTCAGGAGATCAAGACCATCCTGGTCAACATGGTGAAACCCCGTCTCTACTAAAAGTACAAAAGTTAGCTGGGCATGATGGTGCACACCTGTAGTCCCAGCTACTCAGGAGGCTGAGGCAGGAGAATCATCACTTGAACCCAGGAGGAAGAGGTTGCAGTGAGCCGAGATTGTGCCACTGCATTCCAGCCCAGCCTGGTGACACATCGAGACTCCGTCTCATAAAACAAACAAACAAACATAAAACAGTTTCTACTGGTCAATATGATGACAATATACAGTAAAACTCTCAGCCACATAAGAAAAAGGAAAAAATTAGCAAATTTGGTTATTTGATATAGTGACAAGGAAAAACAAATACAAAGATTCACATCAAAAACAGTACATGTTGAGGATATTAAAAACAAATGTACCTTAACAAAAGTATCCCCAATGATTTTTCTTTTCTCTTCAGGACTTGTGGTCATATTTAACGTTTTGCTAATTCTTTTCCGTGGGGTTCTATCTTCATCTGATATTGGTAGGGTTGTTGTTCCATTGTAGAAAGAATGAGCAGCATTTATCACTAGAGGAAAGGGGAGAAGCATTTGAAATTGGTATAACATGTTTTTTTAATCAAAAATAACAAGTCAAACTACAGAAAGAAAAGTTTATTTCTTTTCCAGGCTGAAGAACAGTCCATGGTTCCTTTGATCTCCCCTAAATCTGCCTACAAATTTCAATAAACTATCAATGTTCAAGAATTACTGGCCAGGCCTGATGGCTCACACCTGTAATCCCAGCACTTTGGGAGGCCGAGGCAGGCAGATCACGAGCTCAGGAGATCGAGACCATCCTGGCTAACATGGTGAAATCCCATCTCTACCTCTACTAAAAATACAAAAAAGTTAGCTGGGTGTGGTGGCGGGCACCTGTAGTCCCAGCTACTGGGGAGGCTGAGGCAGGAGAATGGCGTGAACCCAGGAGGCGGAGCTTGCAGTGAGCCGAGATCGTGCCACCGCAATCCAGCCTGGGCGACAGAGCGAGACTCCATCTCAAAAAAATAAATAAATAAATAAATAATTTGGGAAAAAAAAAAAAAAACTATCAATACATCCTGAGTAAAAGAATTCAGATACAGGCACTCATTAAATGTTGTTTCTGTGAGAATCTCCTGGCATTTAGATCTAGGGCCATGACATCACAAATTATGCTGATTAGGACTGGCACGGTGGCTCACGCCTGTAATACCAACACTTTGGGAGGTCAAGTTGGGTGGATCACTTGAGGTCAGGAATGTGAGACCAGCCTGGCCAAAATGGCAAAACCACATCTCTATTAAAAACACAAAAATTAGCTGGGTGTAGTAGCACATGTCTATAATCCCAGCTACTCGGAGGCTGAGGCAAGAGAATTGGTTAAACCTCGGAGGCAGAGGTTGCAGTGAGCCGAAGTCGTGCCACTGCATTCTGGCATGGGCAACAGAACAAGACTCCACACACACACAAAATAAAATTATGCTGATTATTTTCCCTCTGTTCAGTGCTTCATCAGAGCAACAAGCAAACGCCACAGCAAGAAGCATAGCCCCAAAGGAATCAAAAGCACTGGTTCCTAAACAGAATCAAAGTCGTTTGGAATCACACACTAGTGTCTTGTAAAACTGATATTTATGAACACATGTTTAACAATCCTTGGCTTTTTATTTAACGACAGGAAACTAAAAACTGACTAAGATCTCTATTTGCTAATAAAACTTAGCTACTGGAGGCCTTCACTGTAAGATGACAAGGCAGCTTGCTATTTCATTGTGGAAAACCCAGTGAATTTGTAGGTCTTTCCTGAACCTGGTCAACTATCCAGAGAAGACATATCTACTCTCCTGCCTATTGGCATTCTGGCAGTTGAACAGAAGAAGTGGTAGCAAAAGGGAGTTGCCATTCAGGATAGAGACTTTTACTTCATCCTGTTCTTAATGTAGAGTCTTACCTCCACCCTCAACTATGCCTGGTATTAGTAGGCTCAAGTCCAGAACCTCTCTTGTTTAGCCCCTCTAGAGAATATATCCACAGTGTTCTGATGGAGAAGGAGAGTGCAGTTTGCTCCTGTGCTAAGGAAAAGGATCTGCTTCTCAGATATTTAATCCATTTTAGGCTAACCCAGAGACCAATGACCCAAAAAGAATCCAATGATTCAAATTCCTGAGCCTCCTCAGAAGTCTACAGCACAAATCAGCTTGCTTTTTGTTGGCTTCCTTCCCACCCCAAGGTTGTGAATTCCTTCATTCTGCTATGTCCGTTACCAGGGACAGATCCAAGTTTTACAATTTGAAGGCCTCCTTCAAGAAACAGAACAAATAAGATATTAAAAATCTTAAGTTATACTGGGATGGCTACCAAGTACTTAACTATACACAGAAATAATTGCAAATCACATATATACCTCTAAACCCATACTAAGCACATCCCCAGCTCATCTTTGTCTTAGCCTGATCTCAAAATGCCCACGGCCATTCCAGCACCACCTAACAGAGAACAAGTTAGAGTTGAAAGAAAATAAACAACTACAAATTATCAAAATATCTTACTTGCAAATTTCACAAAAACATATGACCATGTGAAGATACCATTGGGGACCTTCCCAGGATGCTGGGAGAGACCTCCCTAGCTTAAACAGAGAAAATCCACCTCTACCCATCTGCTTTCTACTTCCCAACATTTTATTGAAAGCATCTGTCTGCTATCATCTCCTCTATCCCTCGTCCTTATGGTATTACACTGTTTTATGCTTTTACTCTTATTTTAGAGAAGTTTCAAAGAAATAGATTCATGTTCACATCATGCTTACCTACAAGTCTTCATTTTATTCAGACTTTTGGTATCAATTCCAATTAATTCAATAATATGTACAATAACTTGTATCATTAAACTACTGACCTCATTTCATTATAACTATCAATTGCACCTTGTTTTTAAAAAGTATAAAAGGTATCTACAAAAGTAAATGTTATTAAAGACTAAGAAATTTATTAGTGGCCCTTTAAAAAAAAAAAAAAAGTAACTATAGAATCTTCACCTCTCCCACAATAAGCTTTCCTGTTTGCAAAATAATCTGTATATCCACACCTGAGGAGGGTTTGGGTAGCCTCGTGCTATATAAATATCATGAAATAGAGTGGGAAAAGATAATTTCTTTTTCTTTTTTTTGAGATGGAATTTCGCTCTTGTTGCCCAGACTGGAGTGCAGCAGCATGATCTCTGCTCACTGCAACCTCCACCTCCCAGGTTCAAGAGATTCTCCTGCCTCAGTCTCTCGAGTAGCTGGGATCACAGGCGCCCACCACCAAGCCTGGCTAATTTCTTGTATTTTTAGTAGAGATGGGGTTTCATCATGTTGGCCAGGCTGGTCTCAAACTCCTGACCTCAGGTGAGCCACCCACCTTGATCTCCCTAAGTGCTGGGATTACAGGCATGAGCCACCGCGCCTGGCCAGGAAAAGATAATTTTAATAGCGAATGACTAGAAGAGAACTGAACAGTAGCTGGAAAATGTTAACTTATCAATCTATGTATAAAATTAGCAGAATCAATAGTTTAAAAATTTATACTGAGACCTCTCTTACACCAGAGGTAATTGTAAAAATGAAAAGCATTTTCAACCTTGGCATACTGAGAAAACTGTAATTGTGCTCACTTAAACCATAAGACTAGATTTGATTACACAAGTCCTAACATGTAAGTTAACTTTTCTGGGGTTCTTCAATACCTTTGACCTGAATTCCAAGCTTTTTGAGGGCCTCTTCAACAGACTGGCTTTCTCGTTTTCTCATAAAGCCATTATCAATGTGTACAGCAATGACTTGATCTTGGTTCAAAGCACGATTTAGCAAAGCTGTACAAACTGTTGAGTCTACTCCACCACTGAGTAAAACCTACGGGGTAAAATGAAAAATCAAACTAAGCAAAACAAGCAAAAAAGAAAACAAACACTATCAGCTTAAATCGTTACCTAAAAGCGCTATTTATATCAAAGATATGTATGGTGACTGGAAAAACACTCTAAAATTATAGAACATTTAAGGGCTGTGTTGAGGACTCCAGCTCCTGGATTCCACCATTATTGATATAAATTTGTAGACTTCTAGATAATAAATTGCTTACCAAAACTTTTGACGTGCCTACTCTCTCTTTGATCTCTCGAATGCACTCAAGTTCTCTGTTCTGCACCGTGAAGGTTCCACTGCACCCAGCTATATCATAAAGGAAATTCTTCAGTATTACTTTTCCATTTTCTGTAAGGCCAACTTCAGGGTGGAACTGTGCTCCATATAATTTTTTAGATTCATTTGCTATACCTTTATAGAGAAAATAGTCACAAATTAAAATTTTTTCATGCTGAAAAGACTCAAGCAATAACCACAATTAATTTCTCACAATCTCTGCCTCTATGGTTTAAATTTTTTTTTTTTTTGGAGACAGAGTCTCACTATGTCACCCAGGCTGGAGTGCAATGGCATGATCTCGGCTCACTGCAACCTCCGCCTCCTGGGTTCAAACAATTCTCATGCCGCAGGCTCCCAAGCAGCTGGCATTACAGATGTGTGCCACCACACCCAGCTAATTTTTTGTATTTCTAGTACAGATGGGGTTTCAATATGTTGGCCAGGTGGCCTCGAACTCCTGGCCTCAAGTGATCCACCTGCCTCAGCCTCCCAAATGCTAGGATTACAGGCATGAGCCACTGCTCCCAGCCAATTTTATTTTATTTTATTTGTTTTTTTCTTTTGTTTCGTTTTGTTTTGAGACGGAGTCTCACTCTGTCGCCCAGGCTGTAGTGCAGTGGTGCGATCTCGGCTCACTGCCACCTCTGCCTCCCACGTCCAAGCGATTCTTCTGCCTCAGTCTCCCGAGTAGCTGGGACTACAGGTGCCTGCCACCACGCTCAGCTAATTTTTTAAATATTTTTAGTAGAGACGGGGTTTCACCATATTGGCCAGGCTGGTCTTGATCTCCTGACCTTGTGATCCGTCTCGGCCACCCAAAGGGCTGGGATTACAGGCGTGAGCCACCGAGCCTGGCCTATTTTATTTTTTAGGCAGGGTATTTACTGCTCTGTTATCCAGGCTGGAGTGCAGTGGCATAATCATAGCTCACTATAGTCTCGATCTCCTGGGCTCAAGTGATCCTTTCACCTCAGCCTCCTAAGTAGCTGGAATGACAGGTGCGTGCCACCACACTCAGCTAATTTCTAAATATTTTGAAGAGATGGGGTTTTATCCTGTTGCCTTGCTGAACTCCTGGGCTCAAGGAATCCTCCTGCCTTGGCCTCCCAAAGTGCTGGGATTATGGGTGTGGGCCACTGCACACAGCCTTCTTCCTCTATAAATGTTAAAACTAATATATCTCACTGGATTTTTAGCTATAGGAAAAATAAATACATAACAAAGACAAAAACTACATTGCTGTAACCTTTCTTTATAAAGGTCTTTCTTGACACAGCAATTAATGGGCTAGAGGACGGTACATTAAGTCCCACACAGAGATTATTTAACAGTATTCTCACCTCTCCACCCAAGTTACTTCAGTTGCCTTGTCTATCTAGTGCATTGATAATTCAGTTTTGGTTCTCATTTGAAAGCCATTTGAATGCACATGGCTTTCAAATGCATTGTACAGCTACCAAGTTCTCATATTAAAAGAATCTCATATATCAGACTTGTCAGAATATACTGTTTCTTTCTTGACTACTATTAACCACAAATATATATTCACCTACTTGACTAATGTGTTTCCAGCAAATATTACCTACGGGGCAATAGATGTTAGGCTAGGTATTTTACATGTGCATGTGTTACCCCTATTTTATGGCTCTGAGATATCGAGAAACTTGTATGAACTCTCAGGTAATTAAGTAACTAAATCAGGCCTGACAGGCTCCCTAACTCATACTCATTCTACTATACCACAGTACTTCACACCTTATCTGGCTCTCAGGATACCACTCTCTTGGTTTACTTATTTTACTGTCTATTCCTTCTGAATCTCCTTTGCTGGTTCCTCTCCATCTTGCCCATCTCTATACATGGAAGTTACTCAGTCCTCAGCCCTTAAATCTCTTTTCTAAACATTGAGAGATCTCACACTCTCATCACCTTAAAATTCTGTCTGTATGCCGGTAGACTCCCAAATTTATACCTCCAGTCCAGTTTTCTCCTCTGAAGTCCAGGCTCACATATACAACTGCCTACTCAGCACCTTTGTTCTGATGTTTAATACAGCACCTTGAATTTAATATTGCAAACTCAAACTCCTGAGGTCTTTCCAATCAGGTAATTAGAAACATTTTCCTTTTGGTTCCTCAGGCCAAAAAACTTGGGAGTTAAAACTTGATTCTACTTTTTCTTCCTCACTCCATATTCAATCTAACAGCAAATCTTGTGTCTCTCCCTTCAAAGCAGTGGAATCCAATCACTCCTAACAGCATCTACCTCTATTACCCTAGTCCTGACAACTTCCACCTCTGTCAACCTGGTCCTAACAACTTCCTCTTCTACTGTTATAAAAAAAACCGGGTTCTTTTCCCATAACCAGGAAAAGTTAGGCACGCAGACACTTTGAAAGGTAAGAAGTAATGGAATTTATTGAGAAAAAAGGAAAAATCTCTCAGCAAAGTGGAAGGCTTTCTGTTAACAGGCCCCCATCTCACAGATTGAATCCCAGGTCACCACACAGGAACAGGAAAGGCCAGGCTCCTCCCTCCTGCAAAGGCTGAGAACTTCCTGTGGCTCCACCCTGTTCTCCCAGTAGGCAGGCTGGTGGGAGATTCTCCAGGTACCCTCCCCTTTTATCTTCCTCCTGCATCTATCACTACTATCTTGATCCTGACAACACTGTCTCTCTCCTGGTTACTACAATAAATTCCTAGCTCGTCTTCTTGCTTCTCTTTCACCCTGTATCTTTTCTCCTCATCACAGCTTAATCCTGAAATTAGATCACATCTCTCCTTCATTTAAAACCCCACCTCACTATGAGTAAAGCCAAAGTATAGGAGTGGCCAAAAGGTCCTGTGTTCTGGCATCCAACTACTTCTCTAACTTTACCTTCTTTCACTCTCCCCGTCATGCTTACTCTGCTCCAACCACGTGGATTCCTTGCTGCTCCTCAAATATGGTACCCACCCAGGATCTCTACTGCTGTTTCCTCTTTCCCCAAATATCCAAAAAGGTTAGCACTTATTTTCTTCGTGTCCAGTGTCATCTTATAGGAATGCCTTCCCTGAATAGCCTATAAAATTGCAATAACCCTAATCATACATATTCCAGAATACCCTCTTCCCCCTTAGTTTTTCAATGTAAACACTATCTGACTCTGACATATTCTGTATTTCTTTATTGTTTACTTTCCTTTTTTTCCAGTGTTAAATAAGAATTTTTGCTATATTGGTTTTAGGTTTTGTTTTCTTTTTAAGAGAGAGGGTCTTGCTCTGTTGCCCAGGATGGAGTGTAGGGGTGCAACCACAGCTCAACACAGCCGTGATCTCTTAGGATCAAATGATTCTTCTACCTCAGCCTCCTGAGTAGCTAGGACTGCAAATGTGCATCACTACACCTGGTTAATTTTTTTTAAATTATTTTTATGTAGACATGGAGTCTCACTATGGTGCCCAGGCTGGTTTCGAACTCCTAGCCTCAAGCTATCCACCTTCCACAGTCTCTCAAAGTGCTGAGTCACAGACTCTCAAGTGAGAGTCACCACACCTGGCCTGTTTTATTCATTGCTAAATCCTTGACACCTAGAACTGTGCACGACACATAATAAGTACTCAAATGTTTGTTGGATGAATAAAAATACACAAGCCTATCTACCACTGTTGATCTTTTTTTTATGAAGTAAAACCATTCTTGAGCATTCCTATGCTAATGTCGGTTAAGTAACTGCAGGCAGTTTACTAAATTCAGCATATCCATGACAAATCTTTTTTTCAACTTATTATTTAGCTGTGGCATCTCAAAGAGAACTTTATTGATAAACCCACCTTTTTCTTTCACTGACTTCCAGGACTATTAGTGACCATTTACATTATTCAGGTAAGCAAGTCAAAACCCCAAACAGCCAGAAAGTCAATTTCCCTTCCTCAAAAAAGTAGAGAACAAAATGGTTTAAGAGCATGGGTCAGCAAACTTTCTGCAAAGGACTAGAGAGTAAATAGTTTAGGCTCTGTGCAACATATACAGTCCCTGTATTTTATTATAACCCTTTAACAATGTAAAAACATTCTTAGTTCCTGGACATTAAAAAAAGGCAAAAGACGAGATTTGACCCACAAGTCACAGTTTGCCAACCCTGGTTCAGGGAAATCTCTTGAGTACTTATTTGGGTGCTATGGGCTATGTATACCTAAGAAAGGAATAAAAGACAAGTAACTCTGAATATAGTATAGTAGGAAGAGAGCAAGTTCTCAAATTTTTCCTGAGTCATAAAAGTATAGTGTTTTATGTTTGAGAAGCTTATATTAGGATGAACATTTTTCAAAGTATTTCAAAGCAAACCAGTAAACCAGTGAGAGACTTCTGGATAATCCTCCTATTATTAAATTCCCTTCATAACAGTTAATCCTACATTCATTATTATCTTTTAAAAAAGAGAAGAAAAATCAGAAGAAAAAGGAAAAATCAAAGAGTACCTCATACAGAAGCATATGCTTACTCTTCAGATAAAGTTTTTAAAATGAACTCTGCAAAACTTTTAGAATTTTCACCTGCTACTATGTTTCCAGAACGTGCCACAACCTTGAATCCATCAGCTACTTTGTCTACACTATCTCCATGTGTAAGCAAAACAACTTCTTCCTTCTGAAGGCCCCTAAACATACAAAAAATAAAACACACAAATATCTTAATTAAAAACATGATTCCTGGGTTCTTTTGTTTCAGAAACACAAGCTTGCCATACATGATTAGAAAAACAGAAAAAAGTGACAATGGAATACTGCTAGCATTCAAATATTATGTCCATTACAAATAAAGCCAATAAAAAACGATAAATCTTAAAAAAGGCAATCCATAAAAACTGGAAGGAAACTAGAACAAATAAATATATGTAGTTGGTAGTATAACCAGACACCCAGGAATAATTTTAAGAGAGTATAGAACAATAATTTCAACATTATATATCTGTTGAGATTTACGTTAAGAACAGAGGTATTTCAAAGATCTTAACACTTCATTCGGTAGTCTTATGTAAGTAGTAATAGGACTCAGTACTAAAACTATTATCCTGTAACTGTAAGTACAGTATAGATACAGGCATATGGTAGGTTAAAACAAATAATATAATTAGCAATCAACATTTTCAGCTTAAGAGTAAGGAGATACAAAATCAAAAGAGTTAGGTAAAAACCCTATAATCTTTCATTTTAACTGCAAATAAGTATACACTAATGATTCTGTTTTCTAATTCTAAAAGACTAGGTACTGCCCAACTCTGTTATCTGGAAGTCCTAGAAACAATTACAACCCAGTACCAATGTGGACCTCTAGTGCCAAACAAATTAGTAATACTTAGTTAAGAAAGTGTTACTTAAGAGATTTAAGTAACATTAATCAAGTGTAATATGTAGACTTTCTCTGGACCCTGATTCAAACAAATCAACCATAAAAATATACTGTTTACGTTATGGAAAATAATGTAAGAACTCAATATTAAATAATATTAAGGCATGGCCAGGTGTGGTGGCTCATGCCTGTAATCCCAGCACTTTGGGAGCCCGAGGCAGATCACCTGAGGTCAGGAGTTCAAGACCAGCCTGGCCAATATGGTGAAACTCAGTCCCTACTAAAAATACAAAAAAATTCGCCTATAATCCCAGCTACTCAGGAGACTGAGGTGGGAGAATCACTTGAACCTGGGAGGTGGAGGTTTCAGTGAGCCAAGATCATGCCACTGCACTCCAACCTGGGCATGCGACAGAGCGAGACTCCATCTCAAAAAAAAAAAATTAAATTAAATTACAAAATAAATAATAAACATTAAGGAATAAAAATGTAAATTAAAAATAAAGCAAGAAGATAAAGTACATTAATGCCAAAAAGATATTTTGGGGTTTGTTGTTGTCATCATTGTTTAGGAATAGTATAGGCTGTGATAGAGTCTCAGAATTTTAGAACTAGAAAGACAGAAAAATGTCAAATCTTAACCAAATCTTTATGTTTAAAGCTTCTTCTGGTATATCACAAACAAGATTCCTGAAATGGTTCTCAAGATTAGTCACATGAAATAAGGATGAGTGTATGTGTCAACACCTCTCCATTATGAAGCTGAACAAGCACTGGCTTTCAAACTCATTTTGGCAATAACTTCAGTTTAAAAAATTATTCTGAGCAACCTTGGCTTTTTTATTAATCTTCCTTTGAAAAATAGTAATCTTCGGCAGGGCACGGTGGCTCATGCCTGTAATCCCAGCACTCTGGGAGGCCGAGGTGGACGGATCACGAGGTCTAGGAGTTTGAGACCAGCCTGGCCAATATGATGACACCCTGTCTCCACTAAAAATACAAAAATTAGCCGGGTGTGGTGGCTCACACCTGTAGTCCCAGCTACTCGGGAGGCTGAGGCAGAAGAATCGCTTGAACCCAGGAGGCGCAGGTTGCAGTGAGCTGAGATGGTGGCACTGCACTCCAGCCTGGGTGGCAGAGCAAGACTCTGTCTCAAAAACAAAACAAAAAAAAAAGAAAAAGAAAAATAATAATCTTTAAAAACAGATCAAAGAGTGAAAAGGGAAAATACAAATGTTGGTATCACTATATATGATTCCAAATAGGGTTCCACACTGCACAGGTGTTTTCAAATTTCTTAAATACCTTCCTTACTCCCTATTAACATCACCACCATCCCATGTTGTCTTGACACTCAACTGGAAGGCAAATGTGACAATTACACTTGTGGTCACTACTATACCCTTAATTTTGTTTATGAATTATAGAATCTCCAATTGTGGAAAATAACAGTATCAACTTTAAATTAATTACTACTGTTCTTATTCATCTAAAAATGTAATACCTGAATAATGAACATGTATTATCCACACTAATGTTGAAAACTCCATCTTCTCTAACACTTTTTTTGTGCACAGTACCTCCAAATACCTTATTCATCATCTGTTCAAAGAAAAAAATTAATGTTAATAGAAACAAAAGAAAAATACCCATTTTGTTATACTGATTTAATAATTTATATTATTTCTTTTCAGAACACCTGATATATCTGTATCCCCAAAATAAAAGAAGTTTAATAAATGTAGATCATTTGGTATTGTTATATATAACTATACAGTTATTAACAGGCATTGTTATAAAACAAAATTGGATTCAAAATTTGACCTGCGGTTAAGTTTTGTTAAACACTGGCAGATTTTCCACTGAGTGTACTTTAATGAATTCATCTGCTTAAAAATAGGTATCTTAATTACTTACATCTGAGTTTGATTTAAAAGCATTTTAAAAGGTATTCTGAGTTTGGAAAAAGCTACAGCAAACAACAAGAACCTTGTACCAGAACAAGAATTAGACAATAAATTTCTCCAAGCTATTTAAATCTTTGGCTCCAAAGGAACAGTCTGAAAGCCTGCCGAAGGCTGTGCTGTAAAGATGCGAGAAGCAGGAAAATCTGGCCTTTCAGTTAAGCTCATCTGTTCAAGTCCCATAGGCTTATAGACTGATTTCAAATGGTCTCTTCAATTCAGCACCTCCTCTGTTAATCAATCTTCTTTTCTTATTTATCATTTACATGTCCCAAACTTCCCACCTCAGATAAATATACACAAGATTTTTGCAAACATTAAATCTGCAGTGATATAAACACTCCCACTCATCTTAGTGTATCTGTTCCACAACAGGTATCAGAAGATATCTGCCTTAATCAAGTGTAATGCAGGTTGACCCAACCCCTGACAGAAAATAAGACAGACTTAAATAAATGTTCATTCTTGTAACTCAGAGTAGCATACTCTTCAAAACCATTACCAAACGGTGCCCTCTACATTCTCCTTTTAGGTATTCACAATACACTGTCCCACAATAAAGGTTTGCGTTCGCTCCAGCAGGAAAGGACACCTGCTAGCACTTGTTTAACACAGTATTTGTCAAACTAAAGACTCAGAAACAAAACTCTTTACTATAGCACATTAACTAACATGCAGTTTAAGAAACATTGCTGGCCGGGCGCGGTGGCTCAAGCCTGTAATCCCAGCACTTTGGGAGGCCGAGACGGGCGAATCACGAGGTCAGGAGATCAAGACCATCCTGGCTAACACGGTGAAACCCCGTCTCTACTAAAAAATACAAAAAACTAGCCGGGCGAGGTGGCAGGCGCCTGTAGTCCCAGCTACTCGGGAGGCTGAGGCAGGAGAATGGCGTAAACTCGGGCGGCGGAGCTTGCAGTGAGCTGAGATCCGGCCACTGCACTCCTGCTTGGGCGACAGAGCGAGACTCCGTCTCAAAAAAAAAAGAAAAAAAGAAACATTGCTACGGTCTAATCAGTTCCCTTGACTCTAGTCTTGCCCATCTTCCAGCAATGTTCTAGAGACCTGCCAATGTTAGCTACTGCAGTATAACCATGATTCTGTTAGTCTATGATTAAATTCTTCATTAGCGCTCTAGCATCTACAGCAAGGGTTGGTAAACTTTCTGTAAAGGGCCAGAGAAAAATATTAGCCTCTGCAGGCCCTACTGTGTCTGTACCAACTATTCAGTTCTTGCCACTGTAGCTCAAAAGCATCCACAGACAATACTTACAAAGAAATGGGTGTGACTGTTCCAATAAAACCTTATTTATGGACACAGACTTGAATTTTATTTTCACACATCACAAAATATAATTTTTTTCAATTTCCCAATCATTTAACAACGTAAAAAAATCATTCTTTGCTTGCAGGTCATGCAAAAACAGGGGGTAGGCCAGATTTGGTCTATAGGCCATAGTTTACTGACGCCTGGTCTACAGGATAAAATCCAAGTTCCTTATATTAAACACAAGACTTCCTTACCTGACCCTTGTCTAATTTTTCGTTTCACCTTCCCCCTCATTTTCTACTCCAGTCCATTCGAACTAGAGTGATTATCAAAACAGACTATGTTCTCTCCTCCCTGTCTTCAGGTCTCTTTACAGCCCAAGGGCCCTAGCAAAGTATATGGCCAGTATGGATTCCTGATAAACCCCGAGGTTCTAACTGCCTCAAGGAATCTCATATAGTACTCCAGGTCCACCATCCAATCAGATCAGCTCCTCTTATCTTTCTTATATATCAAAGTTTTCTAAGTTTTAGAATGAGAAGGGAGAAAGGGAAGGAAATTCTGCCCAATAAAAATAATTTGACAAAATCTTGTGAGAGTATATAAAAAGGCAAGTGAAACCATAAAGAGTGAAGAGACAAGTCACAATCCAGAAGGTATCTGCAATAATATATAGTTGGGAAAAGTTTAGTATCCAGAATATATAAAGGCTCCCACAACACAATAACAAAGACAATTTAATATAAAAATGAACAAGTATCTATAGTAAAGCAGACACAAATGGCAAATAAACATACGAATCTTACAATAACAAGGAAAATTAACTTTGAGACTACAATGTGACCCCCATTTAATACCTTTGCAGATAAGAAAATACAAAAAGAAATCTAATCATGTCAAGGGTTGGCAGGGATATAGAGCAGAAGATGTTTTTATATATTGTTGTGGGAACATAAATTGAGGGAAAAAATGATCATTTACCTAGTGAAGCTGAAAATGTACATTATGACCCAGCATTCCTACTGCCAGTTACCCTGGAGAAAATTTTGTGTATGTATAACACCAGAAAACAAGTACAAAAATATTCATGGCAATATTGTCTAAATAGAAAAAAACTAGAAAGCTAACAGTATGAACACTGGAATGTAAAAGTAACATGCTATATTCAAACAAATTCAATAGTGAAAATGAATAATTTACAGTAAAATGTGCTAACATGAACGAATCTCAAAACCAAAGTTGAAAATAATACACGTAGTATGACTTCACTTATATATAGGTCAATAGACAAAACAAATATATTATTTAGGAATACAAACATACGTATAAAACTATAAAAAAAAAGAAAGGGAATGAATAATAAAATTCAGGAAAGTTGGTCGCCACTGATAGGAAGAGAAGAATGTGAATGGAGACATACAAAGAAAGTTTCAAAAGCTCTACCGATATTCTGTTTTTTTATGCTGGGGGGTGTAAATCAGTAAGAGATATAAAAGGGAGCAGTAGAGATATTTTTCTTCTAAAGCAAAGAATCACGAGGAAGCAATTAGAAAGACTCTGTCAGGAGAGTCCAGTTAATGGGAAAAGATGGTATATAAGACACTGAAATTGCTCAAATTTCAGAATGTCATGGGGGGCAAAGGTACACACTTAGGTCCTAAAATTACCCAACCTAGTCACTAAGTGGCAGCCCTTTACAAACAATACATTAGCTAGACAGCATCATCTATATCCTTATTTTATGGAAGGACAAATTCTGCCCAAATAACCAAGATCGGCATATCCCATTATCTTACTACAAAAGTTCAGATGATAATAAAGGCAAAAATTGTTACGCATTTAACATCAGCAGGCCTGGCTTTGGCTGTAAGATATCCTATCGAATGACAGAACAATTTGGCCTTATAATTATATCAGGAAACTGACATAATGGGGAAACACTAAGCCATTATCTCTTAAATTAAAGGAGCATTTTTCAGACATATTTCACTCTAAGTAGGCCCTAAAAATATATCTTGTGAGATTCTTCCTTAGGAGAAGTCACAATGCCTCTCAATATACTAACAACCATTTAATATAATTATAAGTTGTGCTATATGATTAACATTGAGTACTCTGACAAAGAAAATCAGTAAATTATATAAATATATGACACCCTGGGACCAAAAAAAAGAAGCCAGCCAATATCCAACATTCAATTCAATCAGGGTACAGGCTCTTCTAAGACTACTAGATGGAAAAATCTTTTTGCCAAGTCAAATTCATAATCACTTTTCAAAGAACACTGAAAGGAAAAAAGAGGCTTTTACTAAAAAATGCAAAATTGAACACCTACTGTGGAACACAGTTTTGGCAATTTCTTACAAAAGTAAACATACTCTTAAAAAACGATTTAGTAATCATTCTCCTTAGAATTTACTGAAAAAGCCGAACATTTATGTCCACACAAAAACCTGTACATGGATGTTCACAGCAGCTTTATTCATAATTACCGAAACTTGAAAGTCACCAAGACGTTAGTAGATGAGTAAGTAAACTGTCACTTACGGAATGAGTGAGTGAGTGAATGAACTGTGATACATCCATACAAAGGAATATTATTCAGTGCTAAAAAGAAATTAGCTACCCAGACTGAAAAGACATGGAAGAACTTTAAATGCACATTACTAAGTGAAAGAAGCCAATCTGAAAAGGCTACATACTGTATGATTCCAACTATATGACATTCTGAAAAAGGCAAAACTATAAAGATGATAAAAAAAATTTGAGTGGTTGCCAGGAGTTGGGGGATGAATAGGTAAAGGATTAGGCAGTCAAAATACTATGCATAATACTACAATGGTAGATACATGTCATTATACATTTGTCCAAAACAATAGAATGTACAAAAATCAAGAATGAACCCTAATGTAAACTAAAGACTTTGGGAATAATGATGTGTTGATGTAGGTTCATCAGTTATATCAAATGTAACACTGGTGTGGGATACTGATAACGGGAGAAGGTATGCATGTGTAGCGGTTGGCGGTATTTAAGATATTTCTGTACCTTCTTAATTTTGCTGTGAATGTAAAACCACTCTAAAAACAAAGTATTTGAAAAAAAAAAAGAAAGAAAAGAAGACGAGTACCTTATCTCAAGATCTCAGTAAGTCCCTACTTATTCTTACTTTTTTTTTTTTTTTTTTTGAGGAGTTTCGCTCTTGTCATTCAGGCTGGAGTGCAATGGCACGATCTCCACACACCGCAACCTCCACCTCCCGGGTTTAAGCGATTCTCCTGACTCAGCCTCCCAAGGAGCTGGGATTACAGGCATGTGCCACCACGCCCAGCTAATTTTGTATTTTTAGTAGAGACGGGGGTTTCCCCATGTTGGTCAGGCTGGTCTCGAACTCCTGACCAGGTGATCCGCCCACCTCAGCCTCCCAAAGTGCTAGGATTACAGGCGTGAGCCACCACGCCTGGCCTACTCTTACTTTCGATATAAAACCAAGGTACATATACTTATTAATTAATGTTACAGTGGAGACACCTGACAGATACCATCTTGATCAAATAATCCAAGTTAACATCACCCGTCATGCCACAAATCCACACCGTGTGCCGCCTGATAAGATGCTCTGAGAAGCACAGCACCAATTCTGTGATACTCCTGACAAAAGTTCATAACCTGAATCTAACAATGAGGAATCATCACAGAAACCAAAGTTGGGAAATGTTCTACAAAATAACTAACACATACTTTTTAAAAATACTTTCATGGTCATGAAAGAGAAGGAAACACTGAGGAACTGTTTCAGACTGAAAGAGTCTAAAGAAACAACAACTAAAAACAATACATAGTCCTGACTGATCTGTGGCCTATAAGGGATATTAATGAGACAAACTGAAATGTGAAGGAGTCTGTGGATTAGATTCTAACAATAAGTCAATGTTAACTTTTTTGATCTGGATAGTTGTACTGTGGTTAGGCAGTGAGAGTGTCCTAATATTTAGGAAATATAAGTAACAGGGCATCACGTGTGCAACTTTCAAACAGTTCAAAAATGTCAACAACTGGAGTATTAGATAAAGGTATACAGGAGCTCTGTGTACTATTTCTGAAAATTTTATGTAAATTTGCATGTCCAAGGTTTTTTTAAATGGATAGTGTTTTGTTACATGAAATAGTATACTTACTACTCTGGAAATAGATTCCCTATCAGGCCAGTTCTGCCATACTAGTGTGGCAATTCACATATCTGTAATATTTGTGCAAGTTATCTCATCCAACTAATCCTAAATATCCTAAAGAAAGAAAATACTAATACAGTATGAGTCACAAACAGAATAAAATATAAGTAAGCTTTCAAAACAAATTTGCTGACATACCTGCATGCCATAGCAAATTCCAAGAACAGGCTTGCCAATAGTGAATATTGCTGGATCAAACCAGGGAGCATCTTCAGCATACACAGAATTAGGTCCTCCAGAGATGATAATAGCACTGTGATTTAAGGAACAATCAGTGAAGAATCTCTGTTAATTTTTATACAAGGTCTATGCCCTCTCTCCCTTGTGCCACTGAGGGAAACAACACAGATTCAGAAATGTTGTTGTTTTTGGTAGAATGTAGCAAATTCTAATTATATCACAGCGAATTACCATCCTACACAGTTTAATTATTTTTACTGTACTTTACTGCAATGTTTAGAAGTCTATCAAGCATTTACTTGTTAATAAGCACAAACTTCCAAATAGATAATACCAATGTTTCTATCTGTGGTATTTAGCATGGATTTGTTTTACTTGTTTCCTTATCAGTGGAAGAAGTACACAAGAATTCTGGGCCGGGCGCGGTGGCTCAAGCCTGTAATCCCAGCACTTTGGGAGGCGGAGATGGGCGGATCACGAGGTCAGGAGATCGAGACCATCCTGGCTAACACGGTGAAACCCCGTCTCTACTAAAAAATACAAAAAACTAGCCGGGCGAGGTGGCACGCCTGTAGTCCCAGCTACTCGGGAGGCTGAGCCAGGAGAATGGCGAGAACCCGGGAGGCGGAGCTTGCAGTGAGCCGAGATCGCGCCACCGCACTCCAGCCTGGGTGACTGAGCAAGACTCCGTCTCAAAAAAAAAAAAAAAAAAATAACTCTGGAGATGGTGAAAACACGGGTCTTCTCAGAGCCTAGCAGGTCACAGAACAACTGAAGGTATTATGAAGGCCCTAGGTAGCTCAGAGCAAAATACTCTACAACAAAAGACGGCAGAATAGAAAGTATAAATTACCTAACTTTGCCTGTTTACAGCATCCACCATCCCCAGCAATTTTCCCTGAGCCCAGGAAAGGGAGCTAGTAACAATTCTGCCCCACATGCCCTGCTCTCAGAAATCAGGCCAGTAGTATAATTTAGCTACCTTACAATTTGCAGAGCATGGGTTAACTTGGGAGTCAAACTACTACACTAAGGGAAAACTCCAAACTGAGGCTTATGTTCCTCTCCTGGCCATTAATACATCTACACTGGCCATCAGTATTCACTCAAAAAATTTAAACATTTTAATATCAGGAATTTCACAAAAATTCAGATTTCTGGATTTTCTTTAGGGAAAAAAGAATCTGGAAACACTGGGCCTTCACTCCTGTATAACTACAACCAACTGGAATCATAAAGAGGCTTGCACCTTCAAGCTGCACATGCTCTCCAGTTTGCCACACATGCCCACTCACATAATAAAGGTATACCTAGTCCCTTTATTCAATTTAAGGTACTCTCTAACTCATTTTGAGTTTGCAGATAAATCTGTTTCATCTGTATTTCAAAGAAAAAGGCATTGTAAAATCTAATCAAAATTTACTTACAAATTTGGATTGCAACACACTTTTTAATTAGTCGTTCCCTGTCATATAAAAATATACAAAGTATATTGCTAGATTTATAATACATCCAGAAGAATAATATGACATAAGTCAAATTTATTTTTTTTAAAAATCTCAGTAAGGCTGGGCATGGAGGCTCACACCTGTAATCATAGCACTTTGGGAGACAGAGATGAGCAGACTGCTTGAGCCCAGGAGTTCAAGACCAGCCTGGGCAATATGGCAAAACCCCATGTCTACAAAAAATTTTAAAAAATAAAAAACAAAACAGTGAGAGAGAAAAAAAAAAAAAAAAACCAACTCAGTGAGCTAGGTCATTTTTTTAAAAAACAGCAATTTCAATGAGCTCAAAAGCACCTTTTGAACTTTGTATGAGCAACCTGAGACGTGGTAAACATTTGCCAGCATGTGTCCTGCAAAAGAGAGATGGATGACAACCTATTCAGATGATAAATATGAGATATTTAAGATAACAATTCTAAAGGGAAATGCGGTTACCCCTAAGGGTAGATCTATAACCTAACTCCTTAAAAATACAGAAGCTAAGGCCGGGTGCAGTGGCTCACACCTGTAATCCCAGCACTTTGGGAGGTCGAGGCGGGCGGATCACGAGGTCAGGAGATTGAGACCATCCTGGCTAACATGGTGAAACCCAACATGGTGAAACCCTGTCTCTACTAAAAATACAAAAAATTAGCCAGGAGTGGTGGTGTGTGCCTGTAGTCCCAGCTACTTGGGAGGCTGAGACAGGAGATTGGCGTGAACCCAGCAGGCAGAGCTTGCAGTGAGCTGAGATCGCGCCACTGCACTCCATCCAGCCTGGCAACAGAGTGAGACTCCATCTCAAAAAAAAAAAAAAAAACCCCAAAACAAACAGAAGCTGAAATTCTATAAAACATACTTAATAACCAAGACCTCTAGATTCTATTATATTATATTTAGTTTCACAAAGGATAACCACCATGGGACTGCCTAGTACTCCTTAATCTCCTAAATAACTCAAGGATATAAGATTCTTAGTGCTATTAAAAAAACAAAAAAGTCATGGACTTAGTTAAGGATAAAACTCAAGCAGTACTTAAACCAATTATGAACGTCTTATTTCAACAAATCTTTAAAAGCTAATCACTCTTTGAGCCTTCCATTTATTTCTACACTGCTATTTTGAAAATAACTTGCAATTACAAGGCCCAATAAGCCATAATTCATTCCAAATACCAATTTTATGTATCAGGCAGATCAAGTTTCTAAAAATAGATGGGCCACATGGGGTGGCTCACGCCTGTAATCCCAGCAGTTTGGGAGGCTTGAGGTGGGCAGATTACTTTAGGTCAGGAGTTCGAGACCAGCCTGGCCAACATGGCAAAACTCCATCTCACCTAAAAATTAAAAAATTAACCAGGTGTGGCAGCACCTGCCTGTAATCCCAGCTACTCGGGAGGCTGAGGCAGTAGAATCTGCCAGGTTGAACCTGGGAGGCAGAGGCTGCAGTGAGCCGAGATCACACCACTGCATTCCAGCCTGAGCAACAGTGAGACTCCATCTCAAAAAAGTAATAATAATAACAAAAATAAGTAGGTTAAGATGTCTCTCATGTCACAAGATGTTCTAGAAAAGGGGTGGTCAAATAGTTATTTCTGCAGAAAGGATTACAGTAATAAAAGCCACAGTGATATAGTTCCTATTCTCCTGCTACATAAGGGAAATTTGAGGTACAAACTGAACCTAGACACTGTTTATGATCAAGTGACATGAAACCCATTAGATTTCTCTCGCCAAGTATTCAGCTATCCTATTCTAGTATCTATTTAGTATGTTACTTTGCTGGGGATTTTTCATTTGTTTTGGGTGAGGGGAATGATGGAGCGCTGATCTGACGGAGAGCCATTCAGATTTATCACAAAGTTTTTTGATCCCTCTAAAAAACTAGTTCTTACTGGTAAATAGTCAGCTGAATTAAATAAACTCAAGGGTCCCTTATTACTCTAAAATTCCATAGTTTAAAAGAGAGAGTCATTTTTTATCTGTATCCTAACACTAGAGCAGAATTAAATTTAAACCCGCCTTTTCTAATTTCTAATTCACTCTACTTCAGAGCCAAAATATCACAGGATAATGCACACATGTCTGTGAAGTCTTTAAAAGTTCTTTTAACCACTTTCACACTAGAAAGATAATTCTTTTAAGAAAAATAAAATTTTAAATTTTGGGAGAAGCATAGTACATCTAATATTAAAGTTTAAAAGCCAATTAAGGACATAAACTACAGTTGCTTGCTTCCACATAACAGTCTTAATCTAAGAAAAAACAACAATTAAAAAAAAATTAAAAAGCATGACATTGGCCGGGCACGGTGGCTCACGCTGGTAATCCAGCACTTTGGGAAACTAAGCAGGCGGATCACCTGAAGTCAGGGGTTCGAGACTAGCCTGGACAAGATGGTGAAACCCATTCTGTACTAAAAATACAAAAATTAGCCAGGTGTGGTGGCATGCGCCTGTAGTTCCAGCTACTCCAGAGGCTGAGGCAGGAGCATCGCCTGAATCCAGCAGGTGGAGGTTGCAGTGAGCCAAAATCGTGCCACTGTACTTCAGCCTGGGTAACACAAGTGAGACTCTGTCTCAAAAAAAAGAAAGCATGACATTAACTAAAAATAGCGGTTAAAGGAAGAAACGATATAAGCTGGCTGTTATTTTGACTAGTTCTAAGGGTACAAGCTGTCAAAATTAGCCCGTATATTAGATTTAAGAAATCTTCTCCATACTTTGGAAACTAGTCTATTGGGACAGGAAGCAAAAACACTTATTGTACACAGATTTCTTCTCTTTGGAGTATTCTAGCCAACTTCCTACTTTCCTTTGATAAAATGTTTTTGGGTAAATGAAAGAATGACCACAACAGCTACATCTAACTCTGACCCACAAATCCTATAAAACATAAAATACTCAAAAGATAATAAGTTCTTTCAACTGTGCAATTAAAATTAATCCCTTTAAACTGAAAGCTTAAATTTTTCCTTTTTCTCCCCAAAACAGAGCCATGGGAAATCACTCATAAAACCATTCCATATCTTATTTTCGTAGAAAAATTCAGTGCTCAAGCAAATTAATAATAAAATATTCCACAATCTAAGTTCAATCTCCTCATAAAAAGATTAGTGAAAAGCCTACCGGAATCCTTGTTCTTTTATAGCAAATGCTGGTGTTTCCAAGGGGAAAATTTCAGACTGCACGAACAGTTCCCTCACTCTTCGGTCTATGACTTTCCCGTACTGAGCACCAGCATCCAGAATGACAACAGCTCCTTCATAGTGGTGGTGGCCATCCTTAAGGTCTCCTCCAGCATTCTCCAGCTGCAAATATCAATACAAATACAAAGTCTTAATTATGAAAATTAAAGCTGCAGTACTTAAAAAAAAAAATTAATGATCACTGTCAGCTCCAAAAAAACACAGGAATGAAAACTTAGGACTTTATGAGTTACCAATTCAAAATACCCCTTTTAAAGGGAAGATTTTAATATATATCCATGCATGGGCATATATTAAACACTTAAACTTAATAAATGCTACCATTTATTGACTATGTAATATAGTGATCGTCTGTGTATATATATACCTTATATACATGACCTAATGGTAGGATGAGCATACAATCCAGCTGCGCCAAAACATAGTCCTGGTTTATGTTCCTTATATGGACGTTATTATTAACAGTGCATCCTTTCAATCTCAAAGTGTCCCAGTTTGGACAATAAGTTATTTGGTCACCCTATCAATGGTCACAACATTTTTATGAGGGATATATACTGATGGGGAAACTAAAAGTTTGATGCCAGAGTATAAGCACGGCCTAATTCACTGTGTTAGGATTTTTTTGTATTATCTGAGGAAAATGATATATGCATCTAACTCATAACACTAAGATTTTTAAAAGGCCTTTTAGGCCAGGTGCAGTGGCTCACGCCTGTAATACCAGCAATTTGAGAGGCCAAGACAGGTGGATTACCTGAGGTGAGGAGTTCAAGACCAGCCTGGCCAACATGGTGAAACTCTGTCTCTACTAAAAATATGAAAAATTAGTTGGGCGTGGTGGTGGGCACTGTAATCCCAGCTACTGGGGAGGCTGAGGCAGGAGAATCGCTTGAACCCAGGAGGCAGAGGTTGCAGTGAGCTGAGATCACGCCACTGCACTCTAGCCTGGGCAACAAGCGAAATTCTGTATCAAAAAAAATAAATAAATAAAAAGACTTTAAATCTAATCGCTGTCAGGTATACATGGATACACTTTTCAGGAAGGTTAATTTGGCAAAATGTCAAGTTGCTAATTGAAATATACTGAAATACTTACCTGGAAGATGTTTCAAAATAATGCAAAAGTAGGTGGCTATGGATGAAACAAGATTGCTCAGGTACTAAAATCACTGAAGCTGGGTGATAGGTACATTAAGTTTATTGTACTAATCTGGTCTCTATCTTGGATTTTTTGTTTGTTTGCTTTTTTATTTTGTATATTTTAAATTTTACATAAACTCTTGGCCGGGCGCGGTGGCACAAGCCTGTAATCCCAGCACTTTGGGAGGCCGAGACGGGCGGATCACGAGGTCAGGAGATCGAGACCATCCTGGCTAGAACCGTTCCTCTACTAAAAAATACAAAAAACTAGCCGGCGAGGTGGCGGGCGCCTATAGTCCCCAGCTACTTGGGAGGCTGAGGCAGGAGAATGGCATAAACCCAGGAGGCGGAGCTTGCAGTGAGCCGAGATCCGGCCACTGCACTCCAGCCTGGGCGACAGAGCAAGCTCCGTCTCAGGAAGAAAAAAAAAAAAAAAAAAAACTCTTTAAAAGTTTCTGTGTACCCTGGAAATCCACTTATAGGAAGCATATACAGTATAATGCCACTTAAATATGGCTTGTATAAAAGTGTAAAAGTCTGTATGCATGCATAAAAAAGGAAGAGTATGGCTGGACATACACCAAAATATTAACAGAGAGATGAAGTAGTTCATCTAAGTAATGGAACTATACGTGATTTTCTATTTTTATTTCCTTACACTCTTCAGTATGTCCTAAATGTTTACAATAAACATATTAAGGGAGGTTTTCTCCCTCTAGTTGTAAAATTTGCACATAAAAACCTTAAGTCAATCCTTTAGCCACTTGTGTAATCTTTTCCACCCTTCATCCCTTCTCCATTTATCTGCAAAAAATAAATGCAGGCCTCACCTACAACACCATTATTCCTTCTGCTGCAAAAAGGAACAAGCGTTCAGGCATGGTAGCTCACACCTGTAATCCCAGCATTTTGGGAAGCCGAGGCAAGCGGATCACCTGAGGTCAGGAGTTCAAGACCAGCCTGACCAACACGGAGAAACCCTGCCTCTACTTAAAATACAAAATTAGTCAGGCATTGTGGTGGGCGCCTATAATCCCAGCTACTCGGGAGGCTGAGGCAGGAGAATCACTTGAACCCAGGACATGGAAGTTGCCATGAGCCAAGATTGCACCATTGCACTTCAGCCTGGGCAACAAGAGTGAAACTCCGTCTCAAAAAAAAAAAAAAGGAACAAGCAAGTCAGTCATCTACATAGGAGGATTTGTGAGAGACCCAATCCGGTGCCAGAAGAAATTACTCAGGTCATAGAAATGAAGGTTTTGGTCACACGAATATGCAATAATGTAGAAAAGTAAGATCACAGAACAAACTAAAACTTTGTCCTTTCAGACCTTTACCCTTAGTGTTACTGTATATACACACACACACACACACAAACACACACATATCTTCGTGGATTTTCTCTATAATTCCTTAATCTTAACTTTTTTTTTTTTTAATTATACTTTAAGTTCTAGGGTGCATGTGCACAATGTGCAGGTTTGTTACATATGTATACTTGTGCCATGTTGCTGTGGTGCACCCACCAACTCGTCAGCACCCATCAACTCGTCATTTACATCAAGTATAACTCCCAATGCCATCCCTCCCCTCTCCCACTTCCCCATAATACGCCCCGGTGTGTGACGTTCCCCTTCCCAAGTCCAAGTGATCTCATTGTTCAATTCCCACCTATGAGTGAGAACATGCGGTGTTTGGTTTTCTGTTCTTGTGATAGTTTGCCAGAATGATGTTTCCAAGCTGCATCCATGTCCCGACAAAGGACACGAACTCATCCTTTTTTTATGGCTGCATAGTATTCCATGTGTGTATAGTGCCCACATTTTCTTAATCAGTCTGTCACTTGATAGACACCTTGGGTTGACTTACAAGTCTTTGCTATTGGTGAATAGTGCGCAAATACACATACGTTGTCATGGTTTGTTATAGCAGCAGATTTATTAACCCATTTGGGTATATACCCAGTAATGGGAATGGCAGGGGGGGGGGGGGGGGGGGGGGGGGGGGGGGGGGGGGGGGGGGGGGGGGGGGGGGGGGGCTGGGTCATATGGTATTTCTAGTTCTAGATCCTTGAGGAATCGCCATCTGTTTTCCACAATGGTTGAACCAGTTTACAACCCCCCAACAGTGTAAAACAGTGTTCACTAATTTATCCACATCGTCTCCGAGCACGTCTGTTGTTTTCCTGACTTTCAACGTATTATCATTCTAA